ACCCCCTCTCCCCCAGCCCAAGAAAGTATTAAAAAGAAAAAAAAAAAAATTCAGTTAGAAAGAACAAAAAATGCACCCTCTGATTACACAGTTTGTTTAAATTGAACCCTCATAAATTTTGTAGAAAAAAATTATTAACAGTTACCAAGTTGTCTTGTTTTAAACCTCCGATATCTTTGGAAAACACTTCTTTTTCGATACAACGTTGGCTTATAAAAAATGAACCTTTTCTGATTTGAATTGAGCTTATCTTACATTTGCAAATATTAGCTTAGTTTTTTTATTAACAATTAATACATAATACTGGTCTAAAAGCTAACCTCATCTCTATCATGTTTATCAACTGCGCATGCGCTCTGGGGGCTTGTGTGCAGTTGATATACATGATAGAGATGAGGTTAGCTTTTAGACCAGTATTATGTATTAATTGTTAATAAAAAAACTAAGCTAATATTTGCAAATGTAAGATAAGCTCAATTCAAATCAGAAAAGGTTCATTTTTTATAAGCCAAGGTTGTATCGAAAAAGAAGTGTTTTCCAAAGATATCGGAGGTTTAAAACAAGACAACTTGGAAACTGTTAATAATTTTTTTCTACAAAATTTATGAGGGTTCAATTTAAACAAACTGTGTAATCAGAGGGTGCATTTTTTGTTCTTTCTAACCGGATTTTTTTTTTTTCCTTTTTAATACTTTCTTGGGCTGGGGGAGTGGGGGTGCTGAAGCACAACATGGCAACATCCCACCTCTGGCAATGTGCGAGAGAGATAGATATCCACGTTCGATGTTGTGCCTCCTTCTACTTGTGCTCTAGCGCTGCGCATACGAATGAGCAGTCTATTATCTTTTATGTCTATGGTGACGTTTCGTTGGTTACTTGAGTTACTTCCGCAGCCATGTAACCGCGGCTTCACAGTGTCCACGACCCATTGCCCACTGTATGCTTTCCGATATTTCGATTTTACCGCGAGTAGCCCCTTACAGTCATGTAGTAAACGAAACGTTACCATTGTGGGTACCTAGTTTTTACCTTTAATATTTTCACCTCAATGAAAAATGAAGAACAAAATGTAGTTTGTGTATCCCAACCCAAGTTCTAACCAATATTTATGTAAAAGGCCACTTTTTCATTATTTTATAGCGTCCGTTACAGTGTCGTCGATGGAGCAAAGGTTAAATAAGTCAATAAGAATTTAGGCAATTCTTAATTATGTGATGTAATGTGCTTTTTTACGCTTATTGAAAGCAATTAATGCTTAAGTGGAGGATATTTTCTGTGACTACATATAATTGTCATAATAAATTACGAAATGTAAAAAAGTGAAACTTGACTCGTTCTAATACATTGCCACTGTTGTGTAATTTTGCCCTATTTTATACACAATGATATACGGAACCAATCCTGTCGTAAGTAAATTGCAAGAACATAAATTTGCCATACATTTGAATTTTTTTGTCGCAATGTAGCGGTGTACATTTACAATTGATGTTTTTTACTAAATGCATGTTAATCATTTATTTAGCTGGTATGTACTTTATAGATAACAATAAGATAAATTATTGTAAAAAGGAACGTTGGCATTTGCATAATAATTTTGATTTCGTTTGATATCATCACACATTTGGACTTGAACTCTGTGCTTATGCAGTATGAGGTATTTTTACTTCTGACTTCATCATCCAAAATGTCGAGGGCTGGGTGACTACGTTTGAATTCACACAATAAGTTTAATCGCGACTTTAAAATTTATTGACATTCCAGTTACTCGGTTTGATTACAAATACTTCTTCTTTTTATGAGCTATCGAATGGGTACCGGATATATACGGCATTCTTTCGTTATAAATAAGTGAAATCGATAAACAGCCTAAAACTGAATAGCTCAACTGAAAAGTGTTAGATTGTTTAGTTAAAGTGCCCATCGGCTGCTGGGTAGAGCTTTTCATGATACTGTATTTTCTCTGGTATAGGAGTAACTTGCACTCTAACCAGAGAATATATAATATACTCTCCTTGCATAGAAGTTCAGGTGGGCCGTTTTCGCGTCCGCAGCATTTTCTCTTAATATTTTAGTTATGCTCCCCATAAGGCAGGCAGCGTTAGTGTATGTCGGGGGACAATGAGGTAACTTACCCATAGCTGCTGATAACTATTACCTTCCGAGCAGCACGGCAGAATGCCTATATGTCAGTATCTTATATATTACTGATTTTCGATGCGAAACTACTGGAAAACACGCTTTAACTACAATTATTTAATAAAATATCGTTAATGAAACTCTAACAAAAAGTTGTACATTAATTTTTCTCAACATGCATATCAAAAGCTTATGCAGGGGCACCGTAGTAAATTTCACAATATCTCTCATCTAATCTGTATAGTCGATAGCTCTGCGGTAAAACTTTTGCATTTGAACCTTAAGTTCTTGGGTTCAATGCACTTCTTTCAGCTTTTTTTTATTTACTACTTTTTTACTACTTACTTATTTTTCATTGAAGCGAAAAAAAATTTTTTATTGTTTTTGTGTCTAATATTTATTACATAATTCATGTATGAAATATCTCATATTTATTTTCTATTAAAAAGAAACGAAAACTGTTCATAGCACATTTTAACACAAGTTAATGTATGTTGTAAAACAATTTCAGACTTTTAAATAAAGACATGAGTGAGCAAAAAATAACCGCCTTTTTTGCTGGTTTTGTTTCGATATCCTGACAATAAATCATAACCTCGTGGTTGGTCCTGTCAAACGGATGCACGGATAGTTATTTTTTCGTACATAGTACCTACACGCTCAATTAAAATCATTCCAGTTAATAGTTCAATGAAATAATTACTCACTCACGATGCCTAAAATCACCTGTTCGTACAAGGCATGCTGCAACTCGAAGCTGAAACATCCCTATCTGAGTTTTTACAGATTTCCAAAGTCTGGTAATTCAAAGTAAGAGGTAGATCAAGCTAGCTTAACAAATTGATTTTTCCCACACCTAATATGCACGATAATTTGTCGCTAATTAATCGCTAATTAGTTGCCAAATAAAAAAATTTGTCGCTCTAGCCGTTTATCGAGAAATAGACGTAGTGCTACCTTGATATCAAGCTGGCACTACACATAACGTATCTCGGCTCAGGAAAGGCGTAGGGAAACCACAAGGATACCAAAATTTGTCGCTAATTTGTCGCTGAAAGATGGTACCCTTTAATAATTCGTCGCTAGTCCAGCGCCCAGCAGCCCAGCGAAAAACGTCCGAGTGGGCTTCAAGGGGTAAGTGTGCGCACTTTCGGATTTAATTTTTTTTTTAAGGATCAATAGATGAGGGTTAAAGAAATGATATCATGTCTAAGTTGTAGCATACTAACCTAAGTACTAACCCAACTAATGATAAAAATTTTAAAATTTGTTGCAAGCCGTTGTATTAGTTTAATATTAATAATCAAGTAAGGGCATCTCAAATGCGTGCACTTGACCCATGGGTAAGTGTACGCACGTTTGTTTATCACGAAAATTAATATGCTTTTTTTCTTACCCGTACACCAAATTTTGGTATCCTTGTGGTTTCCCTACGCCCTTTCTGAGCCGAGATACGCTATGTGTAGTGCCAGCTTGATATAAAGGTAGCACTACGTCTATTTCTCGGTAAACGGCTAGAGCGACAAATTTTTTTATTTGGCAACTAATTAGCGATTAATTAGCGACAAATTATGGTGCATATCAGGTGTGGGAAAAATCAATTTGTTAAGCTAGCTTGATATACCTCAAAGTAAGTTGTTTGATAGTTTCATTATATGCAGTAATAACAATTATATAAAAGGCGTTACTGTTCGCACAACGTTACTATTGGTAAGTAATGTTGAAAGAAAAATAAAAACTCATCCCAAGTTGCCGTTTTGGTACGTACATAAAAACAAAAATAATTTTTTGGCACGGCCTATTAATACATATAACATATTAAAAAAGCACGTGTTTCCAAAAAGTATTGATTAAATTGCTTCGAATTAAAAATTTACAATTGTTTTATTACGTGGTGTGGTTTTAGTAAATTTTTTCTTACGTTCTTATTCGTTTATAGGTAAATTTTAGCAAGATCGCTANAATGCCTATTGTCTGTCCAACTGGACAGCAAATATGTGTCAGCTGATAAGTATAATGATACTTCTTCTGAAGTACTTTCCTTCACGTTTAATACTCATATTAGCAGCTCTCGAGAAGCGGTATAGGATAGTGGACTGTCCCCTACAAAAAAAATTAGCTTACGTACATTGCAAAATTTTTTTTTAGTAAAGTCTATAAGTAATTCTGTCCACAAAAATGCTACATCATATTCACTGCGTGCACAATTTGAAAAGCAATTGTAGCAATACTTGTGCTATTATACAAAACTAAATGATACTGTTGGTCTTCTGCTAGTAGACTGCTAAGCATTACTATCATAAAAAATTTGTGTGTTCATACACCTACAACCGTTCTAAGGGTCAAATTTTTAACAAAATTATAAGTAGTATGTACGTATCTTACTCTCATGCATGCTCATTAAAAATGCAATGAAATACATTCTAAGGTAAACGTACCGATGCTGGAACGTGTCCTATTCGTGGAACGGACTTTGAAAATTAACCAAATGTAAATAATCAAAATTATATCCAACTAATTTAATATTTACTTTAAAATGTATAAGCAATCATAATGATAAGTGATTAAACAATTTGTTAGAAAAGGCTAAATTAGTGTTGTGGACTCCAGTTTCACCCATACATTCAGTTTTGACAACTCCTGGAAACAACATACGGATGTTTTATTTTTTTTACGGCATGGGATTTAGAAGTTATAAACAAAAACAACATTTCCATGCATTTTAGAGAACAAAAAAAAATTTATCCAAGATTTGAATGGTGTTTAAGTTGTAGCACAGAAATTTCACGAATTTAAAATTCCTACGCAAAGTAATGCCGCCAATACACGTAATTGAGTTTGGGCATTGCAATTCAGATGTTTGGTATTCTACGAGGATTAAGAATTTTGTAGGAATTGTTTTTTATTTTTTCAGTTCTATAACCCAGAGACACAAGCTCGCGAATTTTTCAATCAAATCTGCCCAACTTAAAAATTAAGAGTCCGCAACGCTAAGGAATGTCATGTATCTCCTCAAGTTCGGTTATCGACTTGAAAGGTGGTGGTTGAAATATAAATGTTTTATATATAGTACAAGTGCAAGGGTGAAGTTTAATTGTCATTAGGTGCGTTGCAATATGGATTTTTCTACAAAAATGCAAGAGTCCATAACGCTTCTTTTCTTATTAAGAGCTCATAACGCTCTCCCATAATGCTTTGTACCTTCGATTAACTTTAGATTATTGACTCAGATAGTAACTCGCATGGATTTTAATGTTAAGTACATGATATAAATGTGGGGATAAAGTCAAATTTTCATGCAGAGCGAGATTTTTAAGAGCCTGTAAATAATACAGAAAAGTCGATGTAAAATTTTTTTTTTTTATATCCAATAGGGTTCAAAAAATGTTATATGTTGCACTGCAAAGTATGAGTTTAACAATTTACTTACATAAAATTTAATAACCCCTTCACAAAAAAATTATATTTTTGAAACAGATGCAGGTGGTTGTAAATAAAATTAGTCAATTTAATTAAAAGTGGCTTGGGCGATTTTTATCGGCTTGATTAAAACCTCAGAAATTCTGAAATTATGTAAATAAAGTATGCCAAATTCATTTGCGATAAAAAAATGCTGGGGTCAACGACTCAATTTTTCGCAAATCGCTACTGAAAATTCACCAATTTAACATGCAATCTTATGGGAATTGTCACTAAAACGGCTATAACTCTAGAAGTACTTGATTAACCTCAAAAATTTAAAATAGTTCTCGTGTATTTTTTTACAAGGAATCTATTAAATTCTTGAAAATATAGGGTTAACGACTTAACTTAAGAAAAAATCAGAAGAAAAGTATGAAATATTAATCTGGCTTGCCTCGCAACATTTCCCAATTTTTACAGTTATAATTTCACGGTACTTTTCTGGCAATTACTTGATCTTATACTTTAGTTTTATCGAAATAACTATATTTATTGAAAAATTTACCGTCGAAAAGTGTTGATTTTTTTGGGGCCCTTATGGCACCCTACTCTAGGTACGATACTAACCGCCCAAGCCACCTTAAGTTAACAAATTAATGATGTCATTGTAGTAAATAAAATAAAATATGTGTCATACAATCGTAAGCATGCAGTTCCGTCATTGCAGTCACTCACGTCACATCCACGTCACTTTACAGACTATCTCAGTTCGTGCTTCAACACGATGATATTAAGATTGTGTTACTGATTTTGTTAGCGACTTTATTTCACAATTCCAAATGTTTGCTTACAAATTTTATATAGTTTA